AGAGCCACTGTGGGCCAGAACAGAACATCCGTCTCAGGAGCTGAACTGAATTATGGATTTGCAGTATTGTTGTAGTTGTGTCGGTCCCAGGATATGGGACAGACAAGGTGGGCGAGGTAATATATCTATCTATACCGAGAACTGTTCTTCAGGTCAGAATCATGGATTAGCTGCTGCCCAGTCCTACAACACCTTCTATGGGGAAAATATCCAGACCCAGGCAAGACACTAGCCCACTCTGCTGCAGTCCTCACACTAAACATTGTTTCTTCCTCATCAGCAGGGGTTAGTGACTATGAAATAAGAGCAGTGAGAGGAGGCAGCGCTCATGTGGCCTTCCAAGTTCCACTTGACCACGTGATGGGTCAGCCTGAGCGATTTCTTATGTCGAGGACGTTGTTCTAGGATCCACACCTCCTACATTCATTTATTCTCCTACCTAAAATCTCCCCTGTGGTTTCAATTATATATAGCATTCTCTACTTCCCCTGCTAGGGCCTGTTGTTGTAGTGTTTCTGGCATTGAATGGCTGCAGTGTTCTACCCCAGAGGTAGCTGTCTTTGAGTGGTGGCTGAATGATTTTGCAGCCAGAGACAGAGAGAGCAGAGGGAGGCCCTGGCCAGGTAAAGGCTCTTTGGGATCCTTACAAACGCACTCTGCTCAGTGTCAGAGTTTGCAATAACAGTATAACAGCTTGAGAGTGAGGTTTTGATTGGCGCTTGAGCCCCTCCCCACCACCCCCACCCCCAAATTGAGCCCAGAGTACATGCCTCTTCCAGCAATTTTCAACGAGGAAAAATCAGCCTCAGCAACAAAAATCTCTCGATCACTTTCCCTGGGGAAGGCCAGGGCTGTCCTAAAGGAAAATGGCCATCAAGGCGATTCACAGGCTGATATCAGAGATGGTAAAAGCCAGTCCAGGTTATGAAGCTGCACATTTTGGACGGGCCTAGAATGCTTCCCCTCAAAAGAGGAGGTTTCCATAGATTCTCACTAAGCCTCAGTCCTGTCCTTAGGTGCACACAGTCACTAGTGAAATCAACAGCTGCACTTGCCCCTCTCCTGGCTGTCATCTTACTCTCCCTCCTCACTTTATTTCCTCTCTACCCCACCCTCAATGCTGCTCTGTCTCTCATCTTCCTACCCGGAATACAGTGTTCATGAGGGCGACCACAGAGGCAGCCGACTGTAACCTCCCTCCCCTCTCCACGAGAATGGGGGGAAGAAATAAGAATGATCATGTGCATCTCCGCATGCATGGGCTGTGTAGAAAGAGTGAGAGGGTTTAAACGGAGCCAGGGACACAGACGGGAACGGTTGGGATAGTGCGAATTCTGGTGCCGATGCAAAGTAAAGAGCCTCACACAATGAGACGAACTCCAGCAACGTCACAGCAAAGGGGTAGTTGATACGGTTGCAGACCAGCAGCCTGCTCGACCTTTAATGAGGCAGCTATCAAAACTATTCAAATACTTATCACCTCTGCCACCCCCAGCCATACAAAAAACACCTGATTTAATTTTCTCCGGTGGAGATGAGACTAGCAGGAGGATGTGTGCATGTACAGCTACAGGGAACACATATCTGAATGCCAGTTTTCACCGTGCTGCACAACAGCACTACTAGGAACTTGGATTTATTAGTGGGTTTTGCAATAAACACACTAAGAGCCTCTGGTATCGGTACCGATGAAACCTCAACGCCTTCATTTTCTGTGTACTGTACCTTTAAACATCCAAGAATTCAGTCTATGGGCCGAGGCTTCAGCCATTTTGTTCCCCTAATTGCTGCAGCATGTTTCACAGGTGACGGGCACTTGCTGCTCTCTCATGGTGACTACTTTTGTTCTTTTTTGTAGTTAATCCTCAATCTAAAAAATGAAGTCAGTTGAAAGTGAAAGCAAATGGTTTCCCTTTGGGTATGGAAAAACATAGCAAGGCCAAATTCTGCTCTCAGTTGCTCTGATTTCAGTGAGATTGAAAGGATACCTCATTGTTTCATTCTCATACTGTCTCCTTATTTCCTTGTACTACTACCCCTCTCCCCCAACTGTCTGCCTGTCCATATCCATCTGTTACTCACCTTATATTTACATTATAAGGTCTTTGGGATAGGGACTGTTATTTTGTTCTGTGCTTGTACAGTGCCTGGCACAATGGGGTCCTGGTCCAGGACTGGGCTCCTAGGTGCTACCGTAATACAAATAAATAATAATAACAGCAATAATGTCAATGAGAGTAGAATCAGGCCTATCCAATACCCAAAACGGCCTTGAGCCTGTATTCCCTAGGGAGGCAAAACCCACATTGAAGTCAACTCTAATGACTGCAGGATCAGACCCAGTGGGGGCTTTCTGGTACCTTGAGTTTAAAGGTGACTTTCATGCTAGGACAAGATCGACAAAAAGAAACATTTATACAAAAAACCCAATGAGGGATCTTTCTGTGGCCAGCTCTTCCTGACTCGTCTGCTCTGGTATATTTCTCTCCCCCTTTTCACTAGTGGCTCATCCCCTTTCCGCCCACCCCTCCCCATTTTATCCCAACCCCAAGTGAAGCTGCAGTCCCATCTCTGCAGCATTGCCCTCCACAGTCATTGAACATGATAATAGAATCGTGACTTTGCTGGAGGAACAAACAGGCTGAGCAGATGGGCTGTGAGGGAGGAAGCCCTAGTTTAAAACACAAATAGCTTGTGATAATTTAGCAGATGTGGTTAAAAAAAAAAGAGAGAGAGAGACTGGCATGAGGTGATTGGATTTATATATATGTTGAACAAATGTGGAAGTTTCCCCCTCTATGAAAGTTTCTCTTTACAGTTTCTCAGTTACATCCTCTTGATGGGCTAAATTTCATAAGTAAACAAACCCCACACAATAGATAATTAAAAATGAGGTGGGTGTATACATTCCTTCCATTTTTATAATCTAACTAGGCACGGGAATTAATTGATAGAAATTTCTAATTTTTAACTTGACAGTGTCTTTCCAAACACACATAGCAATGAAAGATTTATGCTCCTTTCGAAACCAAGCCTTGTGGTTTTATTAAAGGCAACAAAGGCTGTTCTCTCTGGGGCACACAAAGCACTTAGAAACTTTGCTCTGCTTTCCGTTTGTTCAGTGGCATCACAGAGGCAATAGCCAAGGCCCACAAATACCCCAATCTAGAGTTACTGTGCTAGCCCCTCATTGTACAGCATCTGGATGGCAAGAGGCATGCAGACCCTTCCACTTTTAGTGCTTGTTCTTCAGCCGTTGTTCCAGTGCTATTTTTATTGGTGGCTTTGATACAAAGACTGTTACTTTGAAATATGTCTGAAGCAACCACCCACGGGCTCAGCAAAAGTCAACTGCCTAGCAGAGCTGGGTCTTTAACTAAAAGTTTAATGTAACTGTGCTGGAAACCATAGGGAGGCTCTAAAGTTAGCACTTAAAACAGGGGTCCTCCTTAGTGCAAGTTTCACGGTATGTAGAAACAATCAGAAGAATGTCTGTGATGGAGGGAAGTTATTGTGCACATCGTGGTTTAATTTTTGCGAGCAAACCAGTTTGGTTGTTTTCTCTAGGCCAGTGGTTCCCAAACTTGTTCCGCCACTTGTTTAGGAAAGACCCTAGCGAGCCAGGCCGGTTTGTTTACCTGCCGAGTCCACAGGTTCGGCCAATCGTGGCTCCCAGTGGCCACGGTTCACTGCTCCAGGCCAATGGGAGCTGCTGGAAACGGCGGCCAGTACGTCCCTTGGCCCGCGCCGCTTCCAGCAGCTCCCATTGACCTGGAGCAGCGAACCGCGGCCACTGGGAGCTGCGATTGGCCTGAACCTGAACAAACCGGCCCGGCCCACCAGGGGCTTTCCCTGCACAAGCGGCAGAAGAAGTTTGGGAACCGCTGCTCTAGGCAGATCTCTGTTAACCCTAATCTCAGTAACACAGAAGGAACACATATTGGAATCACCAAACCGAAAACTTTTACAAGCCCCTCTCACAAAAGGGTCTCAGGAACTCCTGGACCAAGGCACCAGTTTTAGGAAGGGATCCAGAGATGCTAAGAGGGTCAGTGCTTTCCATCTATTAGCAGAATAATTGAAGATGCATCATCATACTTTTCATTTCCCTCCTACCACTAGAGGTATATTATGGACAGACCTTTGCTGACCCAACACAGCCAGACTGCTATTAAGGTTACTATTCACTGTTCCTCTTTAAGCAAATGAGGCCAAATTCACCCCTGGCATAACTGTGCTGGCTTCACTGTAATCTGGCCCAGGCTGTCTATCAGCTCAAGAGCCCCATAAATTAAACCAGCTCAATGCCTTCAAATTCAACATAAGCAGATGTCTGGGACACAGAATATCTCACAGTTCAGCTCAGAGTTTGACTAGACTCTCATTTTTGTCAGCAACTACCTCACTGCTTCTCTCCCTATTTTAAATGCACGCAATACTGGGGAGACCAGTTCCAGGGAACAATGCAGGCTTTGCTGACCAGGAGAAAGTTTAGCACACAGGAAAGCTGAAGGGCTTTATTTCTCAGCTGAGAGACACATATTCGTGAATGACTTTCCAAAGTCAGTGCTATGAAAGGCATCGGATAGAAACAGAAGCATTCCACAAGCTACACCCACAGAACTGCGTGACAGAGCGTGCCTTTTAGGTCTGGCTGTGGGATCTATCTAATAACCAGACCTAATTGGAAAAGGCACGTAGAAATACCCATAGACGGAAAACATAACATCAGCTACTGCCCTTGTACCTGGCTAGGTACTTCAACTGCCTTCGTCACCGTATGATCTGACTAGCCTGGAGCCATGCACTAGTGGTAAATAAATTGCTCTAATAAACATTTGCTCCTGGAAAGGCTTCCGTCTAAATTATATTGGCTCTGCTATTTGTCCGTCTCTTTCACAACTTCCTCCCCTCTCCACCGTTTCTCTCTTTAAGCCTCGTCGCTATCTCACTGTAACCAAATGCCCAGAAAGGGGACCAAATGGAAAAGCATCTCTTACCAGAACTAGGAATGTTTCATCCCAGAATCACCAGCCATTTGCCAGTCATTTCCCCCACTGCTCTCACCCACAGCAGCCCCTGGAAGAGCTGCCTTTGCCACTAGGCTGTCACAAGCTGGGGATTAGGAGTAAATGCTCTGCGAGCCAAGCCGATCATCCCACTGCAAACGGAACAGAGGCACCAGCAGTGGACGAGTCCATCAGCCACCACAAAAAACACACACACCAGCAACAAAGCAGGTGGAGGATAGGGAGGCTGCAGACAGAGTGGGAGAGCAGGTGCGGGAGGGAGGGCGCCAGGCGACGCTGAAATGACAGATGTGTTGACTTTAATTTAAACAGGAAATTGATAATGCTCGACACAGAGAGAAAAAGACAATAGCTGATATTAAAAGCAGTGGCTGTTTGCACTCGGTGGCCTTTTCTTCTCTCTGCTCCAGCGGAGCTTTTTGGTTTAATTCTAGCTCTAGCACAAAAAAGCAATAACTGGCAGCACTGACTCTACCTGTCAATCAAAGCAAAGCAAGTACTGATGTTGCCAGCCGGGTCTCAGACGAGAGTTAAACAGGTATTTCCCTTCCCACAGCTACTTACGAGGCCAATCCTGGATTCCTTGCCCCAATCAAACTCCCACAGAAGTTATTTATATGACATCATCCAGATGACTTCAGTAAGAGTTGGACCAAAATACTGAGAGCCAAGATAGGGCGCAAAATTTGCCTTAATTTTGGGAAGAGAAAATACAATAGGACCAGAAATGCCAGATTTAGGTTTCTGAGGAAGTACAGCAAAGAGCTGAGAGTATGTTAAACACAATTTAAAGGCATGAACAATGGTGTCCCTTGATAGAATTCACTTCCCCCTGAAAAGATCAGTGTCATTCCCCACAGTTTAATGCTGATGCAGCTGAAGCCCTCTCAGGCCCTGGATTTCTAAGGATGGTTTGTGGGATAGCAGCTTCACCCAGAGCCTGTCACTCCAGGATCCGACAAGAGTTAGCTTTTATTGTCATCAGAATTCACTCCTGGCTGAAACGACGTAGTAGCAACGTTGGAGGCCAGCGATGAACGTGCAGAGGGAAACGAGGGGAATAAGAAACATCTAGCCATTTCTGAGTGAAAGGAGAGGCGGAATAAATACATAAATAAAGGGTAGTGGGGGTGGGGGTGTAAAGTGAACCCTAAGAACTGGGGGGCAAAGGCAGAACCTCAGCTCATATAAATCCCAGGGGAACTAACAATAGCCTCTGACTCTTCCAAAGAGTGGCCCTGTTGCTGCTTCAGAAATGGATCTCCAGTTTCAAGTGAATTTAGTGCTGGCAAAAGGAGCTGGCCTGATAGCCCTGGAGAACCGAGTCATGTATCCCTAGGACACGTACAACACATGCAGTGGCAGTGCACCCATGCCTGTCACCTCACCAAAACGCTGACCCGGAGAGCCCACCCTTAGAGGGGAGGGGAGTTTATTCTCTATGGCACAGTCAGTCTTTGTGGTGAGAAAGTCAACAAGGGACACTTTTTTGTTAGGCTGACATTTGTTCACTAGGCACCAGACTGAGACCCACCAGCTCATTGCACAGAAAGCCATCACACAACTTGTGGTGAGAAGGATTTTCTTTCCCTAATGCCATCCAGTCCTCCTGACACCACATCCCAGCCCTTCTGACCCCATCTTTTCCCTGGCTGTGTCGCCTTCCTGCCCCCGTGCTGCCAGACCCATCATTTACTATTGAAAGTGATTCATTCCCACTCAAGACAGATGGGACGGACCTGCAGCCCCAGGGTTTAGTTTCTATAGCCAGCCAAAGCAGGTCAGATGCTGGCAGAACAAGGCAGGTCAGGAACAGCTTCCAGACGGAGAGCGATGCTCCTGATAAGTAACCCAGGGAGCTTCCCTTCCCCTCGCCAGAAGAAACGGCATGTGACAGGGAAGCAGGGAAGCGCGTTGGGAAAAGGCTGCTTTGTGCCTGTCATCCCTCCCTTTATCTGCTGTCACACTCAGCTTCACAATCCTTTAGAAAGCGCCACGTTCTTTCTTAATGGTCACCCCTTGACGTTCCGTGGAGCATCGCACGTCACTCCTGTGTCACTGCGCATCTGGGCCGGGAGCAAGCTCTTGGAGGGATGCACAAACCTGCCAGCAGCAGCCTTCCCTCCGCCATCCTCCTCCCATCTGTTGCCCCCAATGTGTCCGTAAAGCCAGTCTATTCCACGGTGGCCTCCTGGGGCGGGGGAGGCCTGGTGAGGAGTTTAAAGCGGTCTAATCCCCAGGCTGGATAATTCATGGAAAGAGGATTACCCGCTCTGAACAGAGCCCTCACCTAAATATAGACTGGCCCTTCCTTTTCATCTCGTCTCGTCTCGCACAGCGACATTTCCCCCACTCCACTCCCTCAGCTAGTCCCAGAGGGCTGATTCTGTTCTCGCTTGCCCCAGAGTAAATCCGGAGAACCCCGTTGTCGCCAGGCCAGTCACGCTGGAATAAAACCAATGTCCGCGAGAACAGAACCAGGTCCCTAGTCAGAATGTCAAAGCCAGCCCGACGGATGCAGTGAAATCCCCAGATGCGCGCATTCCTACTGAGCAAGCAACTGACTAAGCCACGTGGTGGTTGTTCGTTGGGGCCTCAGGATGCGTATTTGGAGTGCGTAGTTATGGTCTACTCGAGAAGATGAAAGCTAGCTCCTGGGGCACGCTGGCAATGTGAAATTACAGCATAGCGTGCTGTGCACATTATGGAGAGGGGGGACCACACTTACCCCCTTTGTGCCAGTGTGGCGGGACAAAGGAGCTAAGCCAACTCTACACTATCCCCCCCCCCCCACATGCTTCATCATAAGAAGGGTCTTGGGGATGTGGCCACCGAGGAGGGTATGCCAACGTGCTGCTGAGCTCCAGCAATCTCCAGCCGCCACAATGCCCCATTGGGGGCTATTGGAGCCAATGTAGGCTAGAGCAGCCCTGAGGCTGTTCTAAATTGCACCAACAGACAAAGTAGACCCCCTTCTGACTCCAAGACCAGGAGAGCACAAAAATGATGTAAAGCCACCTTTGCCTCCCTGCTGTCCACCCAGCTCAGGGCCTGCACTGAGTAGACCTCGGGGTCAGGACCTGGGATTGGAAGATCAGTTAAGGAGCTGATTTTCCCTGCAATCCCAGACCAAAAAGGGGAGGAGCTGTCAGATAGTTGCCTCCCCTTCTGGTCCCTTACATATTTATGGGAATAAGAAGAATACCATTCACAGTTGCATGACTTAGGATAGAAACATCTCAGAGAGATCAACCTCCGGACAGCAGCCAGCCACTAACTGCCTAAGGTAGGAAGGAACTCTCCCAATATCCATTAGGGAGCTTTACAGCCTTCTTCTAAGCATCCAGTGCCAACCACTGTCAAAGATAGGATTCTGGACTAACTGGACCATGGGTCTGAGCCGAGATGGCAATTCCTACACCCTACAGCTCTGCTCCCATAGCAGGTGACCAGGCATTGAGCTGTCTCTTGCTGCTGGCTGAAGTACACTTGTTTTGGAGGAGGAGAAGAATCAATCTGTGGGTTGCCTTCCCCTTTGGTCCCCGCAGCAGAAAGGGGGATAAGATTAGGGGCTGCTGAAGATATTACTGTAGGGCTCTTCAGCTTAGTTTTCCACCAAGTTTCTTCTCCTTACAGTGTGGGGCTTAAGCCAAGCCTGGCCCTGCAAACTGTGTGTTTCAGTGACTCAGTGCATGCCCCTCCATCCCCCTGCCCAGACACCTCAGGCTCCCTGTTCTCATGGTACCTTCAGTTCACTGCTAAGGCTCCTTTTTTCTTGCAGGACTTTAAGCTGCCGTAACATTAAACTGCTCATTAGCATGGGAGTAATTCCATAATCTTTTCAGACGAGACCTTTTTCAAAGGCTCAGCTCCTGATCCGGAAAATTAATTCGGGGAATTGACAATATGGGACGGGGGATCCTCCAGGCAGAGTTCTGGGCTTCCCCTGTCAGGACTGTTCGCAGTCCCGGGGTTTTGTACTGCGGCCAGAAAACTATTCAGTGCCAGCACTGAGCAGCGGAGGGAGAGTCTGTGTCTCTCAGCACTTAGTATGGAGAATGAGGGTAGCTTAAATAGTGGCACTAGATAGTGTACAGCAAATAAGAGACAGCCCCTTTAGCCCGGGCTTTCTGCCTTTAACTCCAGATACCCATTGCTCAGAGGTGCCATTTTACCCCATGATTGGCTGTATGGAGTGGGCAGGATTACCACATGGGAGATGGGGGAGTTAAAACTTCTTTACCTCTCCCTCGCTTCTGCCTGCCAACCTCCACCCTTCCTCCCAGCTCTGGCTCTATGTTCCAGTATTGTGTCAGAATGTACAGAGGTAAACACGTACCTCCATACCTGTGTACTTCACTTCTCCAGCTTCCTGGCTCTTCCTGGCAGTCTCCCACTCAAGTATACAGACACGCTCACAACCCTGGGATAATAAAGGCCCTGACACAGATGCTCACTCCTACCATAGCGTATTGCACACTCCCTTTTGTCCAAGTTGTTTACAGCACCCCATGAAGTGTGTGCGCTCACATTTTATGCAGACTAACTGCCAGTTGCGCACACAAACTCCGTGTACATTTGCACACACAGGATGGGTGCATGGCTGCTTTTGGGGCCGCACCCTGCTGTGCACTTACAAGTAGGAGTGCAAAATCAGAGCCTGCCAGAAGAATTGATGAACACGTGCCCCATCTCTCCAGATCACTTCCCTGAATAAAGAGCTGTCTGATGTTGGCCTCTGCATTGCAGCACGTCACAGACCCCAGATGGGTGCAAATAACACATCACCTTCATGACAGGTGCAAATAGCATGTCCCATGCCAACCGAGGGAGCTGAATGGCAAACCAGATAAGTGCCTCACTGCCTGGTGGCTTTCTGTTTGTACAGCAGTGACGCGCCGGAACATTCCCAGGCTACCCACAATAAGTGTTTCAGCCCTTTCAGGAAAACAAGAGGCATCTTATATGGTCAGAATTCTGGAGAAATGCAACCCAGCCTTCGGCATCTGCTCCCAGCCTGCTGGCTGAAAGACCCCCTCAAACTCTCTGTAGAAAAGAAGCATGACACAGATTCATCAGTGCTGGGTGGATAAATCCCAAACAAGTGCAATCTTTCCTTGTGGCAACGGACCGTTCTCCAGCCAGCCCGGGGAACTGCAACTGGGGGACCAGACGCCTGGTACAAAACTTTGTGAGGTGCTGAGCAATTCCTGCAAGTTGCTGGACCCTCTGCACCCCTGTTAACTTCAGTGGGAGCTGAGGATGCTCAGCATAACACAGAGACGCTGGCAAATCTGATGCATAAATCCCCCCATCACAGGGCCACCTATATTTCCAAATACCCCTGCACAAGGAAGGCATCGTCCACCCTCCCAGGCAGGGAAGGCTGTAAGAAACTTTCATTCTTGTGGGTCCAGGTGACCCACAGAGTGACACGTCCCAATGGCCCTTTGCTCAGCAGAGCCCAAAGCCCATCGGTGTTCCCCCCATCACCAGGAGCCCAGGAAATTCAGAGCCTGGGGAGGGAGGTGAAGTTTGGGTTACTTCATTGAACAGCTGGGAATTAAAGAACCAAGTTGTCAAGAGCAAGAAAAAGTGAGGAGCCAGTGGAAGCATAGGGTCCTCCTGCAGATGGCCCAGGACTGTAGAAGATCCTCAAATCTGCAGGGCTTGGGAGCAAACACTTTCCTTCTTCCAGTGAAGGGTGGAGGGCGACCCTGCTCCTCAAAATGTAAGACTCTGGAGGAAACTCTAGAGGTCTCCTCTCCTCAAAGCCCCCGCCCATGTACCCTGTGGGAGGGGGTGACCTGGCTGTGATTACAAGTGACCGACAGGATAAGCTGGCAGCCTGATGTGCAATTCTTGCAGAAGTGGTAGAGTTAATTGCCAGCTGAGGAGCAGGCATTTGGCTGGGTCTTTTCACCAGGAGGTGAACACTGCAGCACTATTGTATATTTAAATCTGACCAGCCAAGCAATGGAATTAACTCTTTCTCTCTCTCCTCTTGCAGATGACAAGAAATAGGATCCTGGATAGTTATGGCTTGCAGCAATTTTAAAGTCCTGCCTGGAACATCACTCACTCCCTACCCGCCGCGCCTTTCATTTCTGCCTAGGCTTTCCATGCGAAGAAAGCCCTCTGAGCCCACGTATTCAGGTGTTGTGTGTAAGGCACCTGATCAAAACCCACCTGGGGTTCCCCTCTGCACACAGGAGAAAGCGCTACAGTCTGGGTCCCGTCCTCCCCGCTCTGCTATAATCACTCTGTTGGTTTGCAGAGCCATGGGCACACATGTCAAGGAGCCTTTTCATGGACCCAGTTCATGCCTATGGTTTTTATGGGATCTCAGTATAATGGATTGTATTATTGCAGTCTACATATGTAATGAAAATCTCTGCTGAACAGCACCTGTCCCCAAACACACATGCATGCACACACACACAGACACACACGCACGTGTGCAAACACACACAGGTTTATTTAACCAGATCAGGTGCGGCAGAGAAACCAAGATATATTACAGCCACAGTTCAAACTGAAAATCCTTACCTTGCCCTCAGTGGCTGTCTTTATTCTCTGAGTGAAGTGACCAGCTCCTGATTTTAGTTTGAGCTACGTTTATGATACCCTGAGGTAGACAGGATTATTTCAAAAGGACAGTTAACATGTGTGTTTGCTGTGTTGTGCCTGGGGCGGGGGAGGGTGGGGACCCTACACACCCACACACGACTCATCCAGATGCAAACAAACACATCTGTACACCCCCCCCCGCACCCAAGTATCTGCAACATACCCCATTTATACACACCTCACCCATGCACACCCCCACAGCCCACTGCTACACCCTTTCCCCAGACACACACCGTCGGCATGTATTTTAATTGTCCTCCTAAAATAACCCTGTCTCACTTCAGCCTGGGCACCTTCAACGTAGCTAAAACTACAAACCGCAGCTCATTACTAATCTGAGACGAGGATAAACAGAGCCAGGGAGGGAAACGGTGTTAGTCTGAATTGTTGTTTTGGTCTTGACTGCTCTGACCCTGCTGATCTAGTTCAAAGAACAAAGTACCCTACAATTCCGGTTACTTCGTCCCAGCCGGACTGCTGAGCCCGTGCCCTTGAGCCTCCTTATTTTCAGTGACATTTGTCTTTTGTTTTATTTTATTTGGTTTCCCTATTTCTTCACAGCACTCAGATGTTAGCTGGGCACTCAGCTAACTAATGTTGGGGATTGAGATCCCATCAGCCATTCGCTTTCCCTGTAAAATGTCTGTTGTCTGTTTCTGCAATAGTAGGAGAAATGACTTGCTCTTACCTGTAATGTGAAGTTATTTGCTTCTGCTGCTGCTCTGGGCTCAGTTCAGCTCCGGAGTTCCAAGAAAGAGGGCTGCACTGCACTGGAATCTCCTGTAACAATGATGCAGCCCAGCCAGCCAGTGCATGTTAATGATGCACCAGAGGGGATCCCAGCGGAGGGAGAACAGGGCTGTGTCATACCTGCATCACTGCCCCCACAGCAAGAAAGAGAGAGGGAGGGAGGGAGTGTGCAAAGGCAGAGAGAGAGAGAGATTTCAAGGCAGGCAGCGAGAGAAAGGAAAAGCTTGTGTAATTTAATCAGGGTAATAAAGTAACCAGACCACTGCCTGAACATTAAAGATTTTCTAGGAGAGCTCTTGGTTACACAGGGGAATATGTTTACTGTTATAATGCAGACACATATTTTGGCTCTAGATTTAAATGGGATCCAGGATGTTTCCTTGCTGCTTTATTTGGGTGACCCACATTATTATTTCCTCCACCTCCACATAGAATCATAGAATATTAGGGTTAGAAGAGACCTCAGGAGGTCTCACATCTGGTACTGCTGGCCACCACCACATCTGGAGCCATCTTTGCAGGGGTGGCTCTCGGCCCAAATCGGAGCGGCTGTTGCTTTTGTGGGCCATGTTGCTCCACTGCCAGAGTAAGCTATCCAGCTGAAAGCCCCTTCTGCCTCCAACAAGCCAGGAGCCTGTCCCCGGAGCAAAGAGAATCTGGGTGGTTGGATGATGTGTGCCGTAGGAACCCATGCCCACTGTCGGGGGTACCAGGCAACCAGAAGACAAGTTCCTTCCCCTGGTGAAGGGGAAGACAAGAGAAATGGGGATGATGGGAGCGAGAAAGTGATAAGGAGACTGGGGAAGGGACAAACATGGGGCATCAACCTGCTCTATTGATTGGGAGACAGGGCACAGAACAGTCCTCACTCAGGGCATCCGTGCAAGGAGAGCTTCACTGTATTGCTCTGGGGTTGGGGGGAGCGATTCTGCAATTACCCTCCAAATGGCCTCCAACATCACTGAAGAAGGGACTGACCTTGTGGCACTGCCAGGCCGGATGGCGCGTGGAAGGGCTGCGATCCATCATCCGGGGGGGGAATCTGCCTTCAACAGCTAGCTCTCCACACTCAAAAGATCCATGTAAGCTGAGGAGAAAGCCTCCACATTTTGGATGCTTGTCTACATTGAAACTCCAGACCTTAAAACTTCACAGGCCTCTGTGCGGCACCTGAACCCATTACGAACACTGGCCTCCCCTTGGAACCTCATCAGCAGCGGTATCTTTGGTCAGCCACCACCTGCCTCCTAGAATCCCACTATTGTATCTCAGCTCAGCAAGAGATCAGGCATGTGCCATGGAGGTGCTAGTGTGTGGAACTCACTCCCCGCACCCATCTCTGTCCCAGCCCATCCTCTTGTGGAAAGAGATCCGCAGCAGATCCAGTGTCAGGTAACAGAAGGAAAGGTTTTGACAGAGGAATAACGCACTCACAGACTCCCTGCTAGCTCCTGGCTGCGCAGAAGGAACTGCCTGTGCCCTCACAGAGCCAGAGGGAGGCCACGGGCTGCTCACAGAACACGGGCCTGGGAGGAGACAGACTTCTCAAGCAGTCCACACAGACTGGGTTTCACCACAAAGCCCTAGTTTTAAAAAAAACGCCTTAAAGCCACCCTTCTCTATTGCATCAGGCAGCGTGGCCTAGTGGATAGAGCCCTGGGCTGGAACCCAGGAGAGCTGGGTTGGCCCCTGGCCAGCTGCATAACCTTGAGCCAGTCACTTCACCTCAGTTTCCCCATCTGTAACATCGGATTAATGATACTACCCTCCTTTGTGAAGTGCTTTTAGATCTACTGACGATAAAAGCAGGTATTATTAATTTGACCACTCCCAGTTCCTTCCCTTCAAACCCTGTCCCTCCCCTCCCTTTTATTGTATCTCTCTCTCTCTTTTGTCCTTTATTTTGCAGCTGACTCATTCTATTTGTTTCATCTGATTTGAATCTCAGGCACCGATTTTTTTTTTAAATGCCTCCAATAGTACGACTGGGCCTGCAAACTATATCCAGCACTGATCATTTGCAGGTGCAGTTTCTGTGACTGGACACACCAGGTGTGTTGAGCCCCCAGGCACATCAGGGCCATGCGGTTTTTTGCACCCACTCATTTAGAAACCAAGCATTACATCTGAATGTGAAGCTCCATTTTATTCTCCCGTGTGCAATGCATTAGCTTAATTGCATTTCTTACATTGTACAGTGCACTGATCGCTTTGGAGTGGGGGCGCTTTAGAAGTCAACTGATGATTATTACTATTATAAGTAAAAGGCTAGGTCACGAGGCCTTTAGACTAGAGAGCAATGTTATGCAAGCCAATCTATCGCAGCCCCACTGAGGGCCATTTTGTTCACATGTCACTGTGCCTCCGACTTCCCCAACGCAGTCATTCTTCGAAGCACATTAATTCTGTTTGTGTGTCAGCTCTACCACATCCAGCATGAGTCACATGGAGAAAGTGCAGCACCTTCTCTAATTGATATTTTCCCGAAGCCAGCTCTTCGGTAGTCCCAGCGATGCCCTCATAACTCCATTTTAATGCCACTCAGGAGGCTGCCTGGAAAATAAAAATCCAGGAGATATTCTCTTCCATTGCACTGTGAGCACCATTGTTTCCTACTTACACATGCACTCTAGGTGGGAATGTGAAGCTACTGCCTGTGTTAATGACTGCCAGCGGGATGCAGGTACTTCAAAGCGCAAAGGACAAGGACAGCCCCATTTTCTCTAACACCATGCAGGGAACCTGATTCTGCATTCCACATGGACTCTCTATGCTCAGTGACATCAAAGGGAATTTGAGGCCCACAAAGAAGGCAGGTTGGGGGCCCAAGGTCTTTCTATTTAGCAGTGTAGGCCAGAGAAACTATTATAAAGCCACTCAAAATCAGTTATCCACACAACTGCTCTTGTCAGATAAACTGCCCATTTACTCCTGAACTGAGGGGAGACAAAGGTATCCTCAAAATATCACTGCACCTTGTTAGGGACTCAGGGGCACAGCTGGGGATACAGGGACACAGCTGGAGGTCTGGCTAAATCATCCAAACAAAGCACAGTGCCACAGCATGAGCATTAATGCTGCTCAGGCTCTTTTAAGTAAAAGTGGAGGAAATGTTAACGACAAAGGTCTGTGTCATTCCTCCCCACCCTAGCTAACCTCTCGCACCTTTGAGACCCATGTTTCTACTCTGGCAATTTTTCTTGTGAGCACACTCCTGGGAGATGTATTATTCCCATGCCTTCGCTGCACAACAAAGCAAGCTTGATGCCTGCCCTCGACCATGTTAGCTCAAACTCTCTATGAAAACATACTGGAGAAACAAAGGCAGCAAAAGAAGTTAAGTGGCAGCTGAGTGACCTCCTGCTCGTAGTATGTCAACTAAAAGAGAGATAATTAGAGCAAAAGTATGAAGCAGAAAACACAAAGGCAATGCATATTTAATGAATCCACCGGAGCCATCACTTACACTCCGGCATACTGCAATAAAACATTACATGGTGCTCATAAGCTGTAAGCTGGTAGGGGCAGGTGTACTTGGCCTGACTCCAGAGGTGCTGAGCCCCCTAAGTGAGGGGCAGCTGCAGGGGCCGTCTCTTGTGCATTTAGCAAATCGTATCCAGGTATAATCTTAAATCTTACGTCTGTAACTAAATATAAAGGTTAAGAGACAGAGGGATGCTAGTTTGCATTTCAGACAGAGAAGGCCAGGAAATCGAAACCATGCAAAGCACTGAAATTCATCCCATTCCTATCTATTTCAGGGTTTACCGCTTTTTCTTTTTGTAAAAAAGGCACTAGCTTTCATCAAGATTAGCCCTTTTTATTATTACTAATTACAATGTGGATGTGGTAGCAGTCCCAGGCACGATCAGGGCTCCCAAGATGCTATACAAGCTCAGAATAAAATACAGTCCCTGCTCCAAGAAGCGTATGTTCTGAGATCCCGATCCGGCCATCACTTATACAGCTGAATAATGTTACTCATGTGTGTAAATGATAACAGGATCAGGACCCCATTTAAGACAAGACACAGCAAGTGGATGTAGCCATCAGAAGCAACGGAGGAGGGAGAATAAGAGAAACAATATTAGTAGCAAGTAGCTCCGCAGGTCACTCTGCCAATTTTATTAATTAATGTATTCATGATAAATCATAAGATGAAGAAGCTAAATTTCAGAAGTCTTTACTGGCCACCTACATAGCTACTCTGTTAACATTTCCTGGAAGCATCTCTGGAGATGCTCTGAGAAGGGATTTGAAGGAGGATAGAGGCTTCACCAATGAGCTCAGAGAGGATGTTTCATGCACAAGGGGCAGCATGGAAGGAATGTGGCAATGCTTGTGGGAGAAAGGTCAAATAGGTGGCCAAAACTGCCACTGTTGGTGGAGCAATGAGATAAGAGTACGGGGGGGGGGGGAGGGTTGGGGACACAAGTATGGGGGAGCTAAGTTGTGAAGGGCTTTAAAGATAAAGACAAGATTCTTGTATTTGATGCACTGGACAGGGGGAACCAGTGGAAGACTGAAAGGGGGTGGAGGGTGACATGGTCAGAACAGAAAACTAGGAGGATGATTTTAGCAACTGTAGTTTGAATGGAGCAGAGGGAAGGGCAGGAAGACCAGAGAGGGGAAGGTTGCTATAGACGAAGAGGGGAGAGATGATGAGGGCCTGGAAAACAGAATCAGTAGCTAGGGTGGAAAATGGCAAGCAGCCAGGCACCAATTCAGCATCAAGAGGTTGGTAAGGCACACACATCCCCCAGCCCATATTATGAGTCAGTTCTGTTTGGACTGAACTTCTCACAGACCCTCCCCACAATCCCCAGGCCAACTCCAAGCCTTGCAAGGAGACACATGGGGAAGCAAGGTGAAAATTGCTTCACGAGCCACCCAAAGTTGATTCTGTTCCTCCCAACGCAGGCAGGTGCTAACTCAGGCAGTCACCAGGCTGGGTGCATATAACATTACCATAGCAGATGCTGCAAGAATTCCCCCCATGGAGCAGGTAGATTGAACATCCAGAGGGAGGCATGGTGGGGACAAGCTAGTGGCACACAACACCCCACGGGCAGGTGTGGCACATGGGATCCCACTAGCACTCAAGGGTTTATAACTGGAGATGTCCTATCTCCTAGAACTGGAAGATACCTTGA